TACAAATAAAATTATTATTTTAAAATTTTCAAAAAATAAAAAAAAATTAAATTAAAATTTTAACAAAACAAATTATCAGTATTTTTCCAAATAAAATGAGTGGTTTTTACAAACTAAATTATCAGTTTTTATAAATTATCAGCTCTTTTACAAATTATCATTTTTTAAAGTTACCAGTTTTTCACAAATTTCTGTTTTTTACAATATAGTAGTTTTTGCAATTTAATATTTTTGTTTTTTACAAATAAAATTATCATATTTTTTTACAAATTAAATTATTACGATGATTTTCTTTATAAATTATCAGATTTTGCAAGAAATTGAAATTATTAATTTTACACATTATTATTAATTCAGTTTAAATGCTTACAACACTACCATCCAACACTATGAACACATAATATTCTTACCTGCAGAAATTTAAAAAAGATTCTTGATTTTCTGTTGTCTGATTTGCAGTCTGTTAAAAAAGAGAACTTAATTGGTAATGTTTTCTCCTTTTAGAAATGGTTGATCATTTGTGATACAATAAATGGGAAGGAAGGGAGTGCTCAATGGCAACTGAAAGACATCCATTAGCTGGGGGCTACTGTCAGCCATAAACAGTACAAAAGTTCATTTTTACCTGGATGATTAATCAGACACTCTCTACCTGTCATATATCCAATTTTTTGCCAATAATTTTAGGATTTAATGGTTTAAAAAAAAAAGAAAGGTGACTGAAGGTTTTAATCAAAATAAAAAAAAAAACATGAGAGTTGAGATTAAAAAATTTCAAACACCAAGTCATTATTTTAATAGATGAGATAAAAATAGATTTGAACTTGTATAAAAAAAATATATTTTACAACAAGCCTTTTTTACCTCCTCCTTCGATCCTTAAATTTGGCAGAGAACAGGTCATTTCGACCTTGACCTCTCATTCCAATTCCCTATACACTGTTAATTTTGGAGAGACTAGCAAAGATTTTTTTAGTTTAAGTATATTACAAACCTAGTTGTAATATATAAAAAAATTTATTTTTAGGCCATAGTTTCATTTAGCTATTTTTTCGTTTAATTTTATTATAGAGACTTTACTGTTAGCTTATCCAATTCTAAATGAAATTCAATCTTATTTTTTCACAAGGCAGTGGCTTTCTCACTAAATTTTTTTTCGATAAAAATGGTATGATATGCAGGCCCCTGGCCTTCATTTTAGCCATGAATGTCAATCAATTATTTTCGTAAAAATGTTACGCTTTTTTTTTTTTTCTGCCAACTTGACGATAGATGGAAACTTTTCTCTCTCTCTCTCTCCTTATTTTTTACTTCCTGGCTTCTGTTCAAAATTCGGCAAATTCCTCTTGCTAATAGACATTTAAATATAACCTGAAATTTTTCAAAATAAATATGTTAGTAATTAATGGGGAGGTTACTAATAAAAAAAAAAAAAGGCAAACAATTAAAGCGCCTGCACTGGACCTGTGACATAAAACAACGCCAGCTCTTTTTTTCCTTCCAAAAACACGTCAAGTTTAAAACCCGGCAACAACCAACAAGTGGCATATTTGGCATCGACCAACAACAATCAAATCCAACAACCCTGCCAACAAACAAACAGTATCATCCTGGCAAAATTTAAAAAACCAAACCAAAATTTTTTATTTTTTTAAAAATTTTAATCTCTTATTTCCGACCATTTTTATTTTATTTTAGAATAAATTTTTATATCATATATATCCTCATTCTGTCGTCCATGTTGTTTCACCATCAGATTTAACATTTCAAAAAATGTTAAATTTGCCTCTCAGACCTCATTCACCCTTAAAATAAAAGTGTGCCAACAATATAAAAATTTACAATATATTTTCTTGTTCAATCATTATTAGTATCAGTTTCATGTGTTGTGATAGCATTCAGTAATAGCATTCATCAGCCATGTTCAACTGATATTTAGATCAGAATCAAAGTGATACAGTCCAAAGGCCCCTTTTCAAATAAAAAGAAAAGATAAATGAAATAAAAATTTTAAAGCAGATAGAATAATGAAACTTGGTATGAAAATGAATTCAATTTATTTCTCTTCAAAATTATGAGAGTTGGTTGAAAAGTAAGGTATCCAATCAGAATAGGAGATTTTGGGCAGCCATGATTCCCCATGTCCTGAAAGGATGTCACACAGAAGTGTTGGTGAATTTAAAAATCTATATAAATTAAGATTTGGTAAAATGAATGAATTGAACAGATTCAAATTATAGCAGACACATTTGTAGAACATATTCTATTAATTAATCAGACAAAAATCAAGTTAAAATAAAAACATCTTTTTATAGAAAATTATTAATAAGATACAATATCCCAATTGAGTTGAGTTTTTTAAAATTTAAAGACATTTTCCTAATGTTGACATTCCGTACGACTGTGAACAAAAGGTTCAGAAGGAAATTCCCATCAATTCTAGAAAGAGTGCTAACAGTGAACATAAGAAACGTTTTTTCCTGAAAAATTGTTTTAAGAGAGAGATTTATAAATAACTGACTGTTCGGTCAATGAATGTTAAATGTTTTCATATAAGGAAACAGCTAATATTATCATGACTTGAAAATTTTATTCAGTTTTTCAAAGAACTATATGGTCACATTTCTTGTATACATAATTAAAAAAGCATCAAAATTACAGTAATCTGACATCAATTAGGCTATTTCAATTAATTACTTAATGAAAGTTTTGATTTCTTTTACTTTGTCGTGCACCATAAATGTTAAATAGGTTCACTGATATGTGAATTTATAAAGGGAGACAACTCTAAGAGCACAAAATACTGTATTTCCTTGTGTTAAATTCTTTTGCATGCACTCAAAAGTACCAAGTCCGTCATGAAGGGGTAAGGAGACCAGAAAATATTTTTTGCCACTCTCCCATGAAAATGATATGAATGTTGCATTTAAATGTTTTCAGTTTGTAGTTATCAGTAAGCAGAAGGGAATTTGACTTAGGAAATGTGAGAAAAGAAAGTGTTGGAGTAAAAGTGGCAGTTACATTTAACTGTTTCAACAGTAAAAGGGTGGCACCTAGATGCCAATCTAGTAACACTCTTAAACTCATGTAGTCGGGGCACCAGGGAATAAAGTTCATCAAAAAATATTTTCAGAAAAGACAGAGGGAAGCCACATCAGGTCTGTGAGAAAGTGACTGAAGTTGAGATGCCAAGTCAGAATCGATTACATTTCAGATCCTTCTTTGGATTTTGTCAAGAACCTCGAGATGAACAGCAGGGGCACCAGACCAGATATGTCAGCAGTATTCAATGCACGGACTAATGGTAGATTTGTAAATGTGCAAGATGGAATCTGACGAGAAAAACATTCTGGAACAACACAATGACCCAACTTTCTTTGAAGTAGATGCAGCTACTGATTTAATAACAGTATTTAAATATTTAAATTCCCATAAGAGTTTTATTGGAGAAGGTAAGAATACTGAGGAAACTGATTTGAAAATAAACTTGCTATCATTTGATCCAGAGCAAGAACATCAGATTCAACTTGGTCGAATTTAAAAAAAAAAAAAAAAAAAAAAACAGTAGCAGAATCCTTGAGAGATAATGGAGTAAAGAGATTTACTATCATTTGAGTGAATTCTCCAGGTGTGAAAATTAATATCTATTCTCATCATCAATAGTTAGCAAGCTTGGCTCATTAGAACAATTACGACTAGATAGTGAGTTCAATCCTCACTGGGTGCCCCATACTTTCAGCCTTGTGTCACATCTAAGCTATGCTTAGAAAATCACCATAAGAAGAAAAAGGGAAAGAAGTTGTCACCATATCACTTTGAATGGGGGGGGTGCTTGAAAAAGGAACTGTATAATAATAAATAATATTATTATAATAATTTAAACTATTTATTTTAAGTTTTTATGAAAGATATATATCCAAGAACAGATAGTAAATAGTAAAACGTTGATGAGAGTTATAATGGACAGGAAGTAGTAGAGATCCATTGTCACTAACAATTTGGACTCAAAATCAGCAATCAAACAGAAAAAAATTTCATTGAAATTGGATAAAAACTGTGGAAATGCATAAACAACATCTGATCACACACACACATACATACACACATGCATTTTGAGAATTATGGATATATTGATAGATAAGATTGCTGCTAAGACTTAGAAATTGGTGAAAGAAAGTTGCTACTTTGAAAAACCTGTGTAATACACTGCAAAAACTGTCATATGAAAATCTTGTTCTTCTAGTTTTGTTTGTCATTATTCCAAGACTTTGATCAATCTCAAAAATCTGCCAACTTTAGTTTCTTATGATATATGACTGGCACAAACTTGTGATAGATTTCATCTAAACATGTGTGGAAGAGTTTCTTTTCATTCCATCTAGTACTGTAAGTAAGTATTTTTAACCATGAGATTACTCCAAAAAGACATCTTGTTACATCAGTGAGATTCAAAAAACTGTTCTATGCATCTCTTACATAGACTGCATCACAGGCACAGTGAAAGACACCATCAAATGAGAAACAGACCCATTGGAAGACTTCATAATCAGTCAAGAAGAGAAAGTGGAAATGGTATGGGTACATTGTAAGAGCCAACAATCTCTCCACTGCCATCCTACAAGGTACCACCTTAAGAAAAAGAAGAACAAGCAGACAGAGGAAGAAAAAATGTGCTGACAATGTCACCAAGTTGACTGGAAGATAATTTATAGAAACCTGGAATATTAGCACACCAACAGGACATATGGAGGGAGCTGCTCAGGTGCTCAACTATAGAACCACACATAAGACTGATGATGATGATGTTAGAGAATGAATAGGTTAGACAAAAATGGCAAACCTTAACATTACTGGTCATAATTTTGGAGATGAGGTAGATTCATGCCTCTCCCAACAGTATTTGCATGTAAGTGAATATAAGGAACCCAACTGGAATTAGAACTTGGCTTTCTGATTAACAATTCTGAGCCATTATCCATTACATCACCCACACATCCAAGCTTACAGCACCTGGTATTCCCAAGCAGACACTCATCTAGGTACTGACCTGGCTCAACTTGGCTTAACTTTGGTGATCGTACAGGAACCAGTGTTTCAATGTGATATGGCCATAAGCCAAAAATAAAATTGAGTGCTGTTGAATGCACACAATAAATCTTTGTGGACTCGTGACACTCCAGGTACACTGAGGGCTATTACACTGGGTCAAGTGATGCAAGAGTAATGCTAGTTGAATTGGTGGGGAAGAAAGTGAAATTTCAGGATATAATAAAAGCTCAGGATGAATACAATCTACTTAACCAGAAGGTAAAATAAAAAGTCCTTTTCAGTATGCTATGAACATTACAGGATAAGACACCTCAGAAAGTGGCTGAAACTATTTGGGGTGGGGGGATGATCCCATTTTACCTGGTGTATTTTCTTGCCTAACTGAATGTGTACTTTACATCTTATAAGTCTCAGGATTTCTGAAAAGAACCTTTATTCCATTCAGCCTTCTAACAGTTTGAATTCCAGTCACATCCATTACGTTCATTTATGTGCTAATACCCTTGGGAAAGGCATGAATCCTTTTCTTCTCCCCCCAGCTATGGGTAAATAGCAGGACAGACCGGGTTCTATAGCCTTGGATGGCAACTGGTCTACTGCAGAAAGAAATGGCAACCTACTCCAGGAAAAAATCTGCCTCATTAGTCATGTATCAAAAGATAAATGATCGCATAAGCGTGTATCACGCATGGCAAATAACTGACTTCTAATAGCCTTCTTAAATATTTAACCCTTTAGCATTCAACCCACCCCCTAAATATCGATTCTCAATGTTCAACCCACCCTAACTCACCCCATGTATACTCTGCCAATATATGCAACAACATCATTGCAAATAATGCAGGAATTCAGACAAATAGTGAGACTGATCAAAAACTTTGAGAGACGATATTTATTGAGACAGGTTTGAGTGTGTTGAATGCTAGAGGGTTAAACTATAACATGACTGGCCTCTCTCAATCCAGGGTTCTTCCCAAGCTGTTTAGCACTGTCACCAGTCAACTGATGGCTATTTGCTGTTCGCTTTGGTTCTTCATTTGCAATGCTCCATGTTGTGTTCTTTGGTTACAGAGCAATGAAGATCAAATTTCTGCCCATACTTAAACACTGAATCAAGTTGTGATAGAACCATGCTATGAAAAGGACAAAGAATACTTCCACTGGTAAAAATACAAATATCATAAGAAATAATGAAGAAGGTCGCTGGGTTAACTTTCAATTGGTTTATATATTCATTGCTACAACAAAATTAATGTTGTTAAACTCTTTATCATGACAGTGTGTTTTGTTGCTTCTAAAACTTGGAGCAGATTAAAACATGAACAAGGAATTAAGTTGGGACTTCTGTTGGCAGCAGGTCACGTGGGGTTCAGCAGTTCCTCTTCTGATGCTGTTACATCTCATCTGCTTCTCTTACTCCCTATGACAATAAACTTGGTTTTAACATTCATTTCAACAATCGTCCATTTACCCAAACAATAATTTTTCGTTACCAACTTTTGTGCTTAAAAATTATCTCCATGTATATTACCTGACATAAAAGAATTTCATTTTGTTTTTCATCTCTCAAAATGACTGATTTAAAATCCCACTGTTTACATTTTTGGTTTTATTCACATTCACTTCCTGGTCAACAATGACCTTCAAATAAAAAGCAGTCAACTATTCAAAACAATATTTTTCTGATAACAACTTTTTGTGTTTTTGAAATTTATTTATTTCAAGATAAGTTTCAATTAATTCCCTGCACATTCCAAAGTGTTCACATTTCCAGCCTGGCAAATCTTTTTCAACTTACATTTTATGTTTCTCTAATGTCAGATTGCTTACATCACTGACCTGGTTATCAGAAAGAAAAGTGGAAAAAAACATTTCTTTTTTCCTTCACTTCATTTTTCAATTCATGTTTTCACCTTAACAATTTTAACCCTTCTAATTCTATACAGGGGTTCCACATGAACCGTTTTTAATCCTAATTTCATACTATCAGTGTCATATTCCTCCCTTCCCCATTTCTGTCTTTTACTTGTAAATGACTCCCCCTCTCCCTAAAAAATAATAAATGAAAACAACAAAGGTTCTTCATGCATTGTTCTCCACTAAACATGCAGTGGAATTAAAAAAAAATGACTTTCATCTTCTTTTCAGTCCATGAGCATGCACATTTACATTTGCAACACCCCTTACAATTTAATCACTTGACCGGTTTTTATGGCTTGTTTTCTTGGTTGACTTTCCTCTCTCCACAGTAGAGGATGTTGGTTTCCTTTTTACAGATGTTGATTCTGCTTCCTTTTCTCCTGATGCATTCAATTTGGCCTCTTCCTCGTCTGAATTCAGTCTACTTGGATAAGGAACACTAAATGGCATCCCATTCTAGATTCGATGCAAGCTCACCAATATCTGTGTATTATTTGATTTCTTCCAAAGCTATTTCAGCTTCCATATTACTGTCAGTGTGGCAGCAATAACTACTAAGACACTTCACATAGCAGATCAGGTCATTATGATCCCTGAATTATCTCTTTTTATTGTATTCCCTTTTCTCATGGCACTCAATTTGTCTTTCAATTGTTCAAGACTAATTTTCTCCACCTCCTGAAAGCTACATTAAAGGTGATGCCAATTAGCATCACCTTTAATGTAGCTTTCAGGAATTTCTCTACCACTGGTTTCTATATCTGTCCAATTATTCAAACCCATTTCGATTAACTTCACTAATGAATCTTTCTTCTCATATTTCTCTTTGGCCTGATAACGAGAGGGAGGGAGATTGATGCTTCAAATGCCGAACATTCCAAGGGTAACTCTATCAAAGCTAAGAGTGGTTCTATCCTTATTGCTCCAGCGGGCTTCCCGCCACATATTGTAGATAGATCCATCTGACTTAGGGTTTGGGCAGTGGCCACCCAATCAGATATACTGATAGCTTGTAGTAATACTCTATTTGCCAAAACCTCCACTCACCAATTTTCCTTAATCCCTTTTTTGTCACCCTTAAACAATTCAAGCACACACAATCTGTGATTCCCCACCACATAAATGAGATTGACTGAAGTACACATTTCTTTGCTTCTTCCATTGTCAGCAACATTGCTTCCATTCTCGCTGAATTAAAAGCTATATATTCTGCCTCAATTTGATACTTTGTGACCACCCCAAGTCCCAGTTTGTGCTGGGGCGGGGAATGGGTAAGTTTATCACTTGATATATCTCAAAATTACTGTTTAACAATGATAGGGACATTAAAACAGTTTGTTATTTTCTAGTAAAGTAACATAACTTACTGCCTTGTAGTATCTCCATAACTCTTTGGTGGGGTCCACAGGCAACCTCAAATGGTGAGGTAACTTGGTTTGTATTTTTAACAGCAACTCCTTCATACTCGGAGACAAATGTCCCAATGGTAACACGTCCAGCTGAGCACTCACATGCTCTAACAAAATCATCATAGATTGGCTAGTCTGGTATGCCTTATTAAGAATTGTCATTAATTCAAAATACTGCTGGACAAAACTACTTAACTCAATCGCCATGGCCACAGATATATTGGCCACCTCTTGTCTCAATTTTTGCATATCACTTATTAACCCATTTATACTTATTCTGCTTTCCACCAGTTCTAATCTTGTCACATTCAGTATCGAGATACTTCCATGTGCTACCTGGGCTAAAATTCTCTGATCCTTTTTCATTGCTTCCAGCTTCTCCCTTCTAATTTTAATTTCTGCTTTGGTCACTGTTCCAAATAGAACACTTAATGCCTTTCCAACAATGGGGATTACTGCTCTTTCCCTTCTTGTCTGTAACAGTTTGATTCCTTCTAAACAATTTCCATTATGGAAATCTCCAGCATCACGGGGAACAGTAAACTCAGGTATTGTTCCTCTCTGATATAATTCTCCACTACATTCATTCTGGCTGTTCTCAGCTTAAGTAGTTCACTTCCCAACTTATTTAATAGCAATTTGTAGGGGTTCAAATCTCTCACAAAAGTGACTGACCATTTTGATCACATTACTGTCATGTCACTCGTTTGTCTGGAAATCATATTTCATTTTGTTTTCTAACTTTCAAAATGATCAATTTAAAATCCCATTATTTACATTTTGGCTTTACATTCCCTTCCTGACTAACAATGACCTTCAAATAAAAGTGATCAACTACTCAAAACAATGCCCCCCCACACACACACACACCATAACTTTTTTTTTGTGTTTTTGAAATTTATTTCAAATGGCAAAGAATTTTCTTTGATGACTTTTCAAGATACGTTCCAATTAATTCCCTGCACATTCCAGAGTGTTCACATTTCCGGCCTGGCAAATCTTTTTCAGCTTACATTTTACATTTCTCAAATGTCAGTTTGCTTACATCACTGGCCTGATTATCAGAAAGAAAAGAGGGAAAAAAAATCATCTCTTTTTCTCTCCTTTGCTTCATATTTCAATTCATGTTTTCACCTTAACAATTTTAATCCTTCCAATTCTATATGGGTGGGGGTCTACATGAACCCTTTTTAAAAACTAATTTCATACTACCAGTGTCACAAATCTTCTAATACTTTTCTTTCAATTAATGAAATTTTATAATACAATTAATATAATGAGGCATATGTTTCCAATAAAAGTCTCATTGATTCTTGGAGCATTTCATATGTAGGAAAGACAAAAGGAAATGACAAGAAGTCAGGTTTAAAACTTAACAAGAACAATCATTTATTTCCAGTTTGTACATTTGTCTGTCACCAGTGTATGTTGGGGGTGAAACAAAAAAAAAATGTTCAAATGGAAGATTTTTGTTTAGAAAACTTATCAATTAATGGTTAAATTTTAGCTGAGGTACTGGTGTTTGTTTGGTTTTTGCTTAAAAGCTGCTAATGCAGTCAATAGATAGCCAAGAATAGTATTTAATGCATATGGAGAGAAAGAGGTAGGTTATGCCTGGCTGTCTGACAGAAAAATGGAGGTGACAATCTGTCACTTATTGAAATCCATTCCTTTCACTAGTCTCATAATTTATGTCTCCATTACTCTCTTCAAAGGTTTCATGTAGTGCCTCTCTAGCTAGAATGATGTTACTCAGGCATGAAATTTGTTATGATTTTCTGAGTAGGATGTCCCAATGTGATGCTGATGTTAAGCTTATTAATTGAATTATTTAATTATAGCATGAGTCACTATTCTGCTTTATTATCTTAATTTTGTTTTCTACAGGAATTAAAGAATGTACGTATGAAGAACATTGGGAAAAAGAGAAACAAAATATGAGCATGAGATTAAAAAATCATTGAATAAGAAAAAGAATACAGCATGTCAGATCTAAACAGAAATAGACATATCTTGGATAAGAAGCAATATACAATGAATTATACTTTCTTTTTAATCTGCCTCAGGATATGGTGCCAATGTATTTACAAGCAGTCATAAAGTGATTATTGTTGACTGATGCTAACCTCACCAAAAACTGTACAAAGAAAAATTTGGGCAGAGTTTTATAATTTATTAGAAGAAAAGCTCATATTGAAATGGGAGGCCAACAATTCTGTATTTGTCAACAAGCGTTTAACCAGTTTTAGGATATTTAAATTTATTTTAAAATTAATTCATTTTAGATGCCAAAGTGGTTAATAAATTAACATAAATTACCAAAATGTTGTTTCTAACCGGTTATATAGATATTCACTGAACTTAATTTAGTCAGGCATAAGGCCACAATAGCAGGAGTATCCCATGGAGATCAAACTAATTGTCACTCTAAAGCAGGTGCCCATTTTCTTTTTCAACTTTAGATGACAAGCACTGATGGCTAGAGCTGTATGAAAAAGGCAACAGACCACCAAATAGGTTAATCCTTGTGCTATGTTGAAGACAGACTCTTAAATAAAAGAAAAGAATTGTTTTTTTTCTTTATTGGAAACCAGAATTGATGGACACATCTTTTTACAGTCACAGATTTGTAAAATGTTTGATAAATAGAGGGATAATTTCTGATAAAAATTGGCAAGTCTTTCAAAAGAAAAAAAATTGTTGATTTTTCATTTTTAGAGAACCAAAAACTCAGAAACCAAAATGCACTTATTTTTTCTTTTGTTGAATTCCTTTATTGGTTGATTTTAAATGTCAAACTACCCTTTCTGTACAGGGATACAAAATGCCAAGCAACAAATATGAAACATGTACACAACTTATATATAACATGTCTGACATGGAGATTTTTTTATTTTTTTAAATTTTTTATTCTGGTTTGAATTTTTAAAAATGTCTTTTTTCAGAAATGCTTGCAATAAATGAAGCTGATAACCAGCCAAAGACTATTAAAAAAAAAAAAAAAAAGTAAAAAATAATACGTGGGGAGTAGAGGGATTACAAAAATATTGTATAAAATTATGAAAGAAAAAAAGAAAAAAAAATCTTTATGCATCTGTGTGTGTTGGGGAATGAAAAGTAGATAATGAAAAGACAAAAACTTTCCAAAATTAAAAAAAAAAAAAAAGAAGAAAGGACTGATTCAAATTGTCTTCCATTGAGCAGTTGGCAAGAAGAGAGAGGAAGTCAGCAGCAGAAGAGAGAGAGCGAGAGAGAAAAATCTATTCAGATGAAAGATGACAAAATTTGAAAGAATCCCAAAGGGATTATGTGGAAAGTGGGGAAGAGCCAACAAGCAATCACAGCCAGAAAAGTGGAAATCCCAAATGATTTTGGGGGAGGCAAGGTGTCTAGACAGGCACCAATGGAACAATAGCCAGAAGAGACAAGGCAAAGGCAGAGATAAGGACAGGCGTTGTTGGTTGTCTGTGAGAGAAATTGGAATGGTGCAGCCAAGAATCAATCATCCCAAGGACTGACGTCAGTGTCAATGGCTATGCAGTTGTAGGCAGCATACTGCAGCTTCTCTTCTGCAAGTTTGGCACTGGAAAGAGAAAAGAATCAATGTCAATTGTGTGGGTGAGTGTCATCAAGTTGGTTCAGAAATAAATCAAAAGTGACTTTTTGTAGAAAAATACAAAAACTATTAAAATTAAAATGATGACAACACAGTATTAAACTGACACAGTATTTAATGGTTAGCACAGCACAATATTTATCAGTTAAAGTGATAAAATTAAAATAAAAGTTGATGTTAAAGTAAAAAAAAAAAAGTTTTCCAAAGAGATGAAGTCTTATTTTCCTATTTGAAGCTTTGGATATGTAACTGAAAACAACAATTTTCACTATGTAACCATTATTGAAGAATCACTGAACCATAAAACAATATTTACAGTTAACAAATATTAACCTTAAATTTTAGCAACAAGGCTGACTTGAGCAATGTAAATAAAATATTAAAACAAGTGCAAAGAAAAGCATGAAATCAGCACCTATTATCAAAACTACTGACTTCACTTTGGATGGGTAGGGCGAATTGGCTGACAACAGTGTTGATCTGTGTGGAACAATAGCAAAGCAACAAAGCCTGATGTTCCAATTTAGATAAAAGTTTTATACATATAAATCTTCCACATACATGATAGATACTATGTATTAATCATTATAATCTGAATCATTGTATATATTTATTGTGTATAAGTTGGTTTTTGCTCTTTTCAATAAAAAGATCAATTTATGACTCATCTTGTGTAAAGCTTGACCTTAAGCTTCAGGTTTTGATGGTATTTTGAAGAATGGTAGATCCACAAAAATATGTACAAAATACCATAATGCCACCTTATTAGGATTATCAAAACAACAACTGTCATTTGTAAAATGAAGCAAAAAAAAATGTTGGTAAAATAAAAAAATACTATGTACCTTGAATATTTTGGCATAAACAACATGTTTCCACAGGTCGAGGATTCAGGCAAAGCATTGTCTGCTTCTCTGAAAATGACAAAATCAAATTTTTCAGAGGAAAAGCAATTGAAGAAATTGACTTAGAAATCCAAGTATTTTTTGTATTCAAATAATAAAAAATAATAAAAATAATTTTTTTTTTAAGTGATGATACACAGAGGATTGATTAATTTGTGTTTGTAGGTTATTTCAAGCCAGAAAATATTCATAGAAATTTTTCTGAAGATAATAATTTACTGATACACGTCTTACTATTTAACTCATAGCTGGGGGAGAAGAGGTGTATTCATATCTATCCTAAAGGTATTTGTATGTAAGTGAATATGATGAACCTGACCGAAATTGAAACACAGCTCTCAGATTTCCAACTCTGAGCTGTTATCTGTTACACCACACACACATCCAAGCTTATAGTATTTGGTATTTCCAAGCAGTCACCCAGATAGGTACTGACCAGGCTCAATACTGCTTAAAATTGATGATCATATAAGAATGTATTTCATTGTGATGTGGCCATAAGCTGGTGGGTGGGAAAAGAATTTTGAGATGAAATCTTTCATTTATTCCATTGTTTCAGACTTTGTCAGAGTAATCTTTAGATGTTACTTAGGATTATTCTTTTTAAAACTTAACAGGAACCCACAGAGTTTAACAGAAACAAGCATCAAATTCTTGTGCTTGGAAAAAAAGAAAAAAAAGAAAGTGTTTTAAGCTGAGACTAGAAAAACTTGTCACTTTTTATCAGAGAAGTAATTGATCTCATATTTGTTCATTTATCTTTTTTGTCAAACTCATATATGCATGTTCTTTCAATTTAAAAACTTCCTAATGATTCATTGTTTATTAATCTAATCTCATTCTGAAGGAGCTGTTGTGTTCTCGAGAAAATAAATAAGAACAACATTGACTTCTAAAAAAAAGGTCAATGGATGTAACTTTGGATCTAAAGTGATAATTCTTGAAACTTATGCAAAATTGGAGAAGAGCATGTAAAAATATTGCAGAATAATGAAGAAAGAATTTTTCTGAAAAACTGTTTTGATTTAATTATTTCTTGGGAAGATTTTGGCAAGGATACAAATTGTGGGTAGGAGACAAAGCTGCAATAGAAAGTGTCGAAGATATCACAATAACTTACGATTTTCTTTTTGCAAGTCTGTCAACAACAAAGTTTTGTATTTTTTTTTTTTAATCATTTCACCCAAACATTTTCATGGTGGTTGTTATGATGAACTTTCCTCTATGGTACCTAGACTTTATGAATTAAGCACAGTACTAGATTGGTGGAAAGAGTTCATCATTTTACAGTTAAAATGTCTAGATGTAAGTTCTATTACAACAATTTCTTCTCATGTACATCTTATTTATGGACTTTAGAAGGAACTGGAAATCCAATCCTAAACAGGAAACAAGGGATAAACCTACACTCTTGTTCAAAAGATGAGGAAGGAGCATGAACCGGGCAGTAGGTGATCCTATGTACTAAATTATTACACTGCAACCTCACTTAGATATATGTTACAGCCATTATTTCTTGAATGTCATAAAATGTATATATTTTTTTCTTTTTAAATTTCATTACTTATTAACAACATTAAGTCATAATTGATTATCAGTTTTTTCATTGAAAACCTTTGCATACACCTAATAAATCTCAAATGTCATAACTTCAGATGGATACTGTGAAGAAAGAGATAGAAACACACACATTGATAAGGCCAGCATATACATCAATCTATGTGTAGGATGCATGGAGAACCTTAACTGTTAATTTAATTTTAACCTTTAAAATGAATACTCTTGATAATCATAAACTTTATTTGTGTAGCCCTGTTGAGTTCCAGTTCCAAACTAGTACCGATCTTTACACTGTACCTATCAGCAGTCTGTTGACAAATTCATATATGCCATCTCTTTCACCTTACATACTTTCCCCACTAATTCCCATATCTAATATGTTATTCGTTTCCAGGAAGTTTTTCTACTCACGGTTTAGCTGATGACAAATACAATGGAGCTGGCAGGCGTCGACGTCCTGTGACAAACCTAAGTAATCGGCTTCGATCTTCATTAGAAAAATTCTTCACTGCTTCCCAGAAATATTTCACACGTAAATCTGTTTGTTCTAAGTCAATGAGATGGACTGTAAGAAATGACAGAATAAGGTTTTAAATCAGGAAATCAACAAAGAAAAAAAGAAACTAAACAACAAATTAAAAAAAGTGTTTAAATTGTTGCATAAATAACAAATAAAGATATTCTAACTGTACCTGTTGTCAACAGGGTTGTAACGTTTCAATGCAAAAAAGGGAGATAACTGAACAGTATGGTAAACAGTAAATTACTGAGAAATTCAAATATGATATACATTGGGTCTACGAAGAATGAATTTAAAACCAAGTGGAGGCAGCATAAGTGCTCCTTGAACAATATTAATAAAAGAAATCAGACATCTCTAAATATTTTTGGCATTTGAAGGAAATGAATAAAACACCAAAAGTAAAATGGAAAATTATAAACAAAACTAGAACTTGTAAAACTTGGGATGACCCATGCCCTTTATGCCTACATGAAAAACTACACATTATCAAGTTTCTAAATAATGAAAATTTATTAAACAGTAGACATGAGTCAATGGTTTTTTGCCGACATCATCAAATTTTTGCATTGAATAATTAGCATAAAAAACAAACAAACAATAAAACAATAAATACAAATTTTAAACTCTATAGTCTAAATAAAAAGTTTAAATGCCCTACCCAATAAAAAAAAAAAAAACCTTTATGAAGTCGTCAAAAAAAAAAATGTTAGCAAATTATGACAGTTTTTTATATACACAAAACCCTTTCGGGGGGGGGGGGGATAAAATAAATAAATCTACATAGACACTTAACCAGACTAGACTATGTCATCTTCCACTTTAAATTTAGACACCCCAACCTCACCCTGACTTGACCTCTTTGAATGTAACTGAGATATTGATACAAATTATTAACCCTTACGCCCCTTTTTTTTTTAAATAATTGCTCTAGCCATTACCATAGTAATTTTAATTTTAATAATGAATATGCTTATAAAACGCGTAAATTTCAAGAATTAGTTATTCAAAAAAAAATTTTGCTTGAAGATGAACAGAGCTTGGTACTTTAATTCAATTTAATTCAAATAATTATATTGAAGTTTTCGGCTCTTGTTTTGAAACATGAGAACTGAGAACTCTTATGTAGCGATGGAATCATATTTTTAAATAAATAATTATATTTAGGCTCTACTTTTGTATTGAGCACTGTTTTTTAAAAATAATAACAAAAATACTAAAGAACTTTGGATTATTTACCTAACGAGTTCCTTCCTATTTTCTATATTTTCACACACACACTATATATATATATATATATATATATATATATATATATATATGTCTGCTTAATATTATTTTTGCCCTGTTCTTTTCTTTTTATTACAAACTTTGTCAGTTCTGTTTGTTAGGCATTTCTGCCAATTACATTTAACCATATCCAATTACTATACACTATCAAATATCTTTTAGACGCTTTCGTGGTCGCACAGTAGTTACTGTTTTCTCAAGAAAATTCAGTCCTCATTAAGTGCTTCAAATTAGTGACCTTGTACCAGACTAAAATAAGCAAGTCTGCCAGGCTATTTCTAGAGTAATGACTTTGAAGCTCAGTGGGTGCTCTACTATCATGTTCTTGTGCCAGACTAAGTTTAGTAAATATTTACTTTTTCAAGATTAGAATGAAACTCAAAAAGGTTTACCACTTTTCTGTAAGGCTTCCAAACTAATTTCTGCTTCACCACAGATTCTCTTCTCCAGTTCCTGCCAAGTGATCAGCCTCAAGACATCTTCTGGAATCACCCGAAGCAAACCTTTTAATGGCTGCAATCTGATAACAAAACATTAATTGTATTATATATATATATATATATATATATATATATATATATATATATATATATATATATATATAAAATTAACTTTTTTTTTTTTTTCAATTTTAATCAAAAATACATCAGTTGCTCTACTTTATCTTATATCATGTTCAATAAACATCAGTGTTTTTAATAGGTTTTTTATTTCATTTGCAATTTTGGTGAGTGGAGAAAGTTTCAAAAACAGTTTTCATCTCTTGCATTTTGATGCTTTAGAATGCACAATAACTTTTCTGGATTTTTTTAACTTTTCTGCAAATTTTGAATTTGGGTAGGAAATGTATATGTCTTCAATCTGTCCTAAAGCAAAACTATTTAACTAACCATGTTAAAAGCTCCTTTATCAAGATTAAACAGTTTTACTATCAGTGGGACTTTAACCAAAATATTAGAACCAGAGAAAAAAAGTCAGTAATAATACAAACTCAAAATGGGGCCAAATTAATGATAAAACTATAATGATTATTTTACAAGAAATGAATTTTGTTCTATGCACATTAGTGAATTACACAATAAACTAATTACTCCAAGAGATTTTACTTTAATAAAGTCCAACAAAACCCTCTAATCCAATCTTTAAATTAGGGCTGATTTGCATGTCATTTTAAATCACAAATAATTAATCTGCTTGTTTACAAAGACTAAAAATGAAGAATTGATAAACCCAATATTTCCTGTTGGTCTCTCAAAAAATGAAGAATAAAGGACCTTTGAAGTTTAGAAGGACATTGAGGTGTTTGTACCTGCTCAGAGCTTTCACCCATTCGAATTTTCTGCACTTCTAAGCAATAATTTTCCCGTTCATCATATCGAAGGCGTCGTGGATTGCCATCACTATCAAACCGGAGATTCACTTCTGTGCCGTTACTCAACGTTGTACTCCAAAAACGATTTTCCTGAGGGAATTTCTCTTCATCCAAATTGAGTAGCGTTTCCAAAAGTTTTACCTGAAACATTTCAACAAGTATTACAGGAGAAATGCCAATATTCACACATTTTAATATTAAGTTCAGTTAGCAAAAAAGAAAACTGGAAAAGGCAAGATAAGGTTATCACAATCAAGTGCTAAAAATCATTTTGCAATCAGAGTGTTTCATAATTACCCAATATATTTTTTTTCATATTTTCAAATGAAAAATAAGAGTTGTTAATAGCAATCTAGTTAAATACTTTACATATCTTTACAAATTTTAAAACAATGGATATCAGCATTAATATTTTCAGAAAATGTAATTATGCAGAAGCTCAATAACTAATTATATGAACTGAAATCCAATGATCTCTCTTGTCTGGCTTCTTTACTTTTCACTGTCAAATATGGGCTGTTTGATATGCTTGGTATTTACCAATTTGTAGACACTGATCAGGGACTACCAATGAATCAAATTATGACACAAATGCAAAAAATATTCCAATCAATGATAAAGGGTTTAGATTTATTTTTCTTCCAATGGAGACCTCCCTTTCGAGGATCTAACACTTCATAATATAACCAGAGTCCAAATAACAGATATTTGCAATTTCTAAAGGAATCAGTAATAGATTCAAAAACCTTGGTAAAAAGTAACATTCATAAAGAATGAAAGAAAAAGTTTCTTGCCTTTTACAGTTCTTTTATATTTCCATTGGTTATGCACTGTTAAACATTTCTCTATGAATTTTTAAGCTTAGACAATTATAATGTTTGATAAGAGTGAACATTCTGAAACAATCAACAGAAAATGAGATAAACAGAATATAGATGACGAAAAAAAGGAAAAAGCAAACCTGAAGTAGCACAAGTAATGATTTTATAGGTAAATAAATGGGATAGACTTTATAAAACAATACTTAATTAAGGGGTAACTGAAGTAGATAATCTAAGAAGAGCTAAGCAGACTTTTTTCTTTACCCCAATCTCTGGCTTTTTACAAACATTGTACTCAAAAAACCAGTATTAATCTTTTCTTTTTTTTCAGTGAATTTAATTGCAGCTACAAAGAGAGAAAATTATTTTCCAAAACAATCATGAGAGAGTCTAGAGAGTGGGCACTAGTAGGCAGTGAAATAGGATTCATAAGAAAAGCAACAAGAATAAAGTCTGTAAGCATTAAATAGTATAACAAAGATTGACTCACCTCCGCTGCATCAACTGTAGTAAAATCTTGATACCAACTAATATTCTCTCCTGACAACTGCTTCCATACAAAAGGAGCCAATGACAAAACCTGAGGGAAAAAAATATTGCAAAGAAAATAGAGTTAATTAACTAATGCATTATTAATATACTCAGCAAACATCAACATATTCTCTTTGATAACATGATACTGAAGAATGTTTCTTCTTCCTGACTTCCCAATCAAAGAATGTGATTGCAAAATAAACATCTGCATTTTGAAGACACTGATATGACAGTAGGCTGTGGCAAATTACTGCTATAATCTACTAATGAAACACACATTCCAAATGGCAAAAGTATGAGATTTAGAACGGCTAAGTTTCTGACATTTCTTGATTGTGGCGAACGTGTGTCAGTACAGATGCACAAGAGGTCTCAGATCGCATGCAGATATGTTTGCCAACACCAGTTACATGTGGGTTTTTTCCATTAGTAGCAGGACAGTTTGGCATGTCTAAATATGGGCCTTTCTGCAACTGGTCAAGATCCAGGTCTTTATAAGATGCTAATGACAATAATAAATGCAGGGGGGGAAACCAGCAGTTGGCAAGACACTTCTTGTGAAGTCAGTCCTGTGGGTATTTTTGTTTCTCAAGTTGCTGTGGTCTCCAAGGCAGTGTTATTTTTTATTACCTCTCATCTCTTTCTCCTCTCTGCCTATTACCCCTGTAGTTGCTGAAATAGCAATTAGTTAAGTGTTTCCCTGCAATCACAATACACTCTTGACGTACATTACAACATTGATGTAGAAAGAATGTTGGGGATTTACATAAAAACCTGTTTTACAAGAGTGTTTTTTTGTTTTAATTTAACTCAGCACAATTTTATAACTTAAGCCTTTCATTGTTTGGTTTTTACCTGTAATACCACTAACAGTGTAATATTTGATATTGTGGGTGGGGAGAAATGGTATAAATTGACAAATGCAGTCATTTTTGTTGTTCTTATGTCATTTGCTACCCAAAACAAAGATAGGAGGGGTTCTATTATGTCTTACTGACAGGAAAATACAAAACTTGTCAATCTTATTTAATTCTGTCCTGATGAAACACAAACTCATAGTGAAAGGAAAGTAAAAAAGTTTTAATATTATGGCAAATTAATTTATTTCTAAACCACATCTTAATTCAACCCATTTTATACTTGCACACTTCACATTTTCTCCAGCGAGGAAACAAACTGACCAGGTTTTCTTTGCTACGGAAACAGGCACCCATTAATTGGCCAATCCATTCATATTCGGCAAACCAAGTACAAGATGGATTTGGGATGTAGGCATCTCTGTTCACATTGGAATCTTCATGAATCTGTGAAACAATTTGAAAAACACATTGATAATCATTACAAAAAAAGAGAAAAAATGTTTGCATTCAATTAGAATGTTTTAAAAAAATTTCCCAAATCAAACAAAAATATTGAATTGTCTGGAAAGTTCCTGTTGATTTTTAGTCATTCATGTTTCATTAGAACCCATTAAATTCAAGGACAGATATAATATCCTTATATTTCCAATTAGTGCACACTTCAAACTATCTCTTGAGAAAGAGAGTTTAAAATTACTTAATTTGTGTCAATTTTGCATGCCCATAAAAATGGAAGATTATAAAGTGCATTTTAGATGCTTGATGCTTTTTTGTTTAAACCGTAAAGGCAGAAATGCCTCGCAAGCAACAAAAAAGATATGTGCTATGTACGGTGAAGGTGCTTTTAGCTGACAGAACTTTACAGAAGTGGTTCACTAAGCTTAGAGTTGGTAACTGTAGAATTATTGATGAAGAACACTCTGGCAGAAACTAAATTTATCAAAATCCACCATCCATGGGTACTCAAATTGCTACAATGTTTGGGTACCACATGATCTGACTGAAAAGAATCTTTTGAATTGCATTTCATCTGTGATTTGCTGTACAAACACAATGAAAATGCACCCTTTTGAAGCAAATTGTGACAGGTGATGAGAAATAGATTGTTTACAACAATGTTCAAGGAAAAAGATCCTGGGACAAGCAACATTAGCCAACTTTAACCAGCTCAAAAGCCAGTCTTCACCCTAAGAAAGTCATTCTGGGCATCTGGTGGGATTGGAAAGGAATCCTATACTATGAGCTTCTGCCATGTAAACAGTCAATTGATTCTGAAAAGTACTGCTCACAACTGGATGAATTAAAGGCAGCAATTCAAGAAAAACGCCAAGAACTGGCAAACAGGAAAGGTGTTTTCCACCAGAATAATGCCAGACCTCACGTTTCTTTGTCAACCCAGAGAAAATTGTTGCAGTTTGACTGGGATGTGTTATCCAACCCACCATATTCACCAGATATTGCTCCTTCAGATTTTCATTTATTCAGATCCTTGCAAAATAATCTCAATGATAAAAATTTTAATTCTTTGGATGACATAAAAAAACACCTTAGTGAGTTCTTTGCTGTAAAACCACCGAAATTCTGGGAAGATGGAATCTTTAATTTGAAGGAAAAATGGAGAAAGGTTGTGTAACAAAATGATTCATATTTAGTTGAATAAATATTTAATGGCATAATTTTGTTTTGTCTTTTAATTTCCCTTAAAAATGGGCATGAACTTTCCGGACAACCCAATAGTTTAACTATAAAGAAAACATCAAGTATTAAGAACAAAAATAAAGAGGAAAAAGTTAAAGAATTTGTAAAGAATAGGAAATAACAAAATTGCATTGAGACCAAAACGAATGAATTGAAAAACTTAAGGGAAAGTACTCTTGTAAATCAGTTATTCTCCTTATTCAATTGTTTGCTTTTGTTTTTGTCTTTCGATCGAATCATATGAGAAAGTATATAGAGTTTAAAAAGCAACCATTTAATTCATATCTTCAAAGTTTAATAAAAACATATTAGCCTTATGCTTAGCTTAGTAAATAAACATTAAGGCTTTTCTTAATTTTCTGATAAATATAATTCTAATTTTTTTATTAGCTGTGTTTGCAAGTTCTCAGTATATTTTTTGAAAACTACAGGTTAAAAACTAATAAAAAAAATTTAATTTAAATGCAAAAATAACGCTGGAAACTATTTGCACAACTAATAACACTTATTTAATTTTTATTGTGGAGTTAACTTTTTATAAATTGAACTTGTATGTAAATTTTACTAGTTTTAAGATCACTCAAATTTAAATTCAATTTAAGAGCGAAATACCCCATATTGTCAAGGCAGTTTTATTCATAAATATATTTTAGGTCATTTCCATGGAAACCAAATGCAATAGAATTGCCAAAACAATGCAAAATATATTGTAAAAAAGATAGTGTTAAGAATGAAGCTGTAATAAATTGATTCTAATGAATTTTAATAAAGCAATAATACAGAAAAAAGAAGATATAATTGCTTTTTACAAAGTCTCCTACATCCTGACTCATGTAATAAATTATCTTGGAAAAATCCAAGTCACTTTCTAAAGGCATTTCAATCTGTTTATTTACAGATGACCCCCAGTTAGTCATACTTTTTTGGTAGCCAAGAGCAATAGCTGTAAGACAAATTGGACTATGTATATACAATTTTGGTGCATCCTATAGCAACAGAAATAAACAAAGGTTTGCACATATTGAAGATTTAATGAGTCCTTGCTAACAGTTGGAATGTAAATGTATCTATCAAGAAGACCAGATATCAGATTAATGTAAATAGTGGTCCCTGTATGTAGATCTTGTAGCAGTTCCTGTCTTTATTGAGAGAGAGAAACCAACATGGTAAGTGTTGCAAAAAATATATGATCTCTAGTGACTTTTATCATAGGATTTGCTGTCCTCGTCACACAGATCAGTAGCAATCTTACAAGTAGTACTACTTTTAATGACCTTTTCATTGCACCCTTTACACTCCTGCCTAGGGGAAGGGTAAATAGGGAGGTGGGTAACAACATTCTGACAGCTAATGTTATCAAATGGATCACTAACTGAAAGCCTTTTTTTGAATGATTTAATACCAATCAAGCATGTGGCAATCACCATTTTGAAATTCAAATAGTTTTTTTTTTTAAGTTATTTCATGTTAGGTTTGAATGCCCTTTTTTAACAATGAAGGCATTTAACTTTCAGCAAATAATATGACAAATTTCTACTACTGTTATACATCATCACTCATTGATCTTGTTAATTTTTGTATATTTGACTAGAGCAGAGTTTCCCAATGTGGGCTCTGTTATGTCGAAAGAGGACACTGGGAGTTTTTATTTCATTGGGGGGGTGGGACCATATTTGTGGGGGGAGGAGGCATTCATCTATTTTTTTTTTTCAAGTTTTCAAAAATTATCCAATATTGGCTACAAAAGGAAATTTCTGAAAATTATCAAACTTTTCTTCATTACTTTTTCCAATTTCAAATATGGATAAATGTGGTTTCAACATAGTTACACAGCTTCTTACTAAGCAAAGAAATCTAAGCAGCATGGAACTTAGAGTAAGAGCCTTAGCCAGTAAGCACCAAAGTCAACCACTACATTGAAAACATCGAGATAAGCTATCAAATAAAAATTTTTTTTAGCATTTTAATAATTGGCATTTATAATAGAAATGCAAACGATATTAAAATTATTTCTGCACTAATACCTAAGTGTTATCTTGCTATGAAAGATGAATTCAGTATAATATTCAAAATTTTAATTTGATAGAGGGGAACTGACAAAAAGTTTGTGCCCAAAGGGGGTGCTGGTTGAAAAAAAGATTGGGAAACACTAAACTAGGGCAACGGGACAACAGGCCTCAATAGAAATACCATCTTTTATGTGTCTTTTTACAGTTGGTAGATTATGAGGGACACAAGGGATGTATGGCTGATAACTGACCAGCATACCTATTACATCACATGCAGACTAACTTTGGACTCTTCCAGCAACTAATACAAGTTATATTCAGTAGTATCTTTTTGCTATTTATATTTGGCCTTCTGGTAAAGCTGTTGAGGTCAGTCATCAGCAGAACCAAATTTGTCTATTTCCCCATTTCCAACTTATCATTGGGTCAAGAATGGTTTGCAAGGCCTCCTTGGCATTTATAAGTCTCTCTACCTTGTCATGGTATTAAAATTAGGTCATCTATCAATGAAAAACACAACAAATTACAGAGCACTTATTTTGATTAACTGTGTTAGTTAAAAAGATTACTTTGCTGCTTATGTAAAAACAGTCTTAATTGACAATAATATAAATCTCGGCTGTTTATAAAAAGCCACAGTTGTTTAAATAATGCACTGACTATTGTTTGTATCATATGCCAATAGCTGTAAGTAAAATAAAAGTTCTTTGAATATTAATGTCATTGAAAAATTACAAAATAAACCACTAACTTCAAATCAAACTGACATTACATAGGATATGCCATATCACCAACTGATTCAATAGTATATACATTCTATGACCAATTATTAGATTCAGTTGTACACACACACACACACACACGTTAAAGCGTTAAAAAATAAAAAAAATAATAAATATTCTAGAAAAGAGATTTGGGTTTTAATCCTTTGGTGCCAGAACATGTCTTAAAATATATTCCACTAGTGGAACAATGGGCACTAAAAAGTTAATTTAGCTAAAATTAACAGATAATTCAGATACTAATACTATAGAATGTCATTGATGAAATCAATTATGCATCTAATACAACATTTAATATCAGTACAAACTGAAGAAATTAGGTCTTTTTTTTACCAAAAATATTTGGCATACAACTGTTTTTTTTGACATTGCTAATTTGCATCCTTATTAAAAAAGCCAAAAAAAAATCAACATTTTAATTCATCACATGATAATGTATATTTGAAAAGGCTAATTGGAGGAATTTTATATTTGCATTGAGATTTGAAAGAAAAAATAAAGTGTTTAAAATTTAAAAAAATGAAAACTTGAATTTAAACTTCAAACAGGCAAATTATTCTTTAAGTTTGTGATTTTAAGATTATTTTCTGAAAATATTCAATAGTAAATTTTATATTTTGAATATAAATCCTCTCTCCTAATCTAGCCTAGCTGGTTTCATGTCCACAACAAAATAGAATAATAATAATGGGAAGGTACCATCATGCACCTTTTAAAATAAGGTGTCAATGAGTTGATAAAAACACCTGAAACTTATAACATTAATTTTAGTGAAATAATCTTTATGCCATTTGAAATTTTAGTGATTAGAAAAATTGTGTCTAATGTATAGAAACAGATTATTGTCATTGAATAGTGGTATAAACTTAAACAAAAAAAATACAAAAAAAAAACCCAAAAAAAACATCATTTACCAGAAGAAATAGGCATATTAATTACACCTTGAATTTTAAAAAAATAAATCTACCAAAAATCAGGTAATTGTTAGATTAAATTTTCATTATAAATTCATTTATGGATTTATTTATTTATGAAAAGGGAATTTTGTAGGAAAAATTTTTAGGAAATCATTCTTAAGCCCACCATATACCCCATTATTTAATTTTATGAAATTTCAATAAAATATCATTTGGACACCAAAAACATTTACATTTTTATAAAACTGAAATCTTTTGAAATTTTAATGAAAACTTACATAAAAATAAAATATGCTTTGAATCAGAAAATAAAAAAAAAACTGCAATAAAATTAAAATATCTCATTTGGAGATACTATTTAAGTAAACTGGTCCACTTGCAAACGGGGAAAATTTTTTGCAGGAGGGGATAATTTTTCTAGATTTGTATTTACTAGACATTTCTCAAGCCATGACATTTGTCAGAATTGAAAAATATAAGTACACATTTGTAAATAACAGTATAGTCCAATACAATAACTCTTAAAAAAAATAAAGGATTGATTTTACATTGTTATAAGTAGACCCACCCAAACCCCACACTTTAAAAAAAAAAAAAAAAAATTCAGACAAATATGGATCTAGGAAGATCTAATGAATACTAATATACAAAAATTATTACTCAAAAATGTTCATATTTTTTTATGAGTGAACCAATGTTTTTTTTAAATAATAGACTGTATATATCTGAAGTTATTATGTAAATCACATAAACCCTAATAACTTGAAGTTGCTTTGAAAAATTTTGGTCACATTTTTTAATGATTAATTTAAGCATCAAAACAAAGCTTGAGTTAAATTTTTAGCTAATTCCAACCTGTTTCATTAAGGTTATTGGATTTATTATAACTGCAGTCTGAAGTTATGCAGATTAAACTAATATCAGTTTAAGACCTCTGAAAAAAAAAAATGGGTTGAAATTGTTTAACAAACCATTATTATTCAAATTCGATGAAGGATTTAAACTAAACAGTGCTAACTATTGTAATTTCTTCTTTGAATGGTACAAGTCCCAGCCTCACGATTTCAAAGTGAAGTATGCTAAGCTTACCCGTGAATTTTTTGAGTGTAAAAGGTTTATAGGAGAGAAGATAATGGAATGGCCACCATCAAGTCCTGATTTAAATCCAATCAAAAGTCTATGGTTAATTGTGAAGATAAAATTATACAAGAGTGGTATACAATATATGACAGCAAAGCATACCTATGGGAAGCAATAAAACCACCATGTCAGAAATTGAACCTACTGAAGTAAAAAAAAATTAACAAAATCAATGGATAATAGATTGCTGGCTGTTATAGAAAGGAAGGGTCATTAAATTAAAATGTAAATACTTCAAAGACTTATCATATATGTTTGTTATTTGTACTATAGGTGTTGATCAATTCTTTATGATTTTATTACTGTTTTTGAAGTAAAAAGTTATTTTCTGGTTTTGCATAATAATTTCAGACTGCAGTTTTTATAATAAATCCAATAACTTTAATAAAACATATTGAAACTATCCAAAAATTTAACTCAAGCTTTGTTTTGACATCTAAATTAATCATTTAAAAGTTGACAATTTGTTCAAGTTGTAGAGGTTTATGTGATTTGTATAATATCAGACTATACACACACACACACACCCAGGATGCGATGGATAATTGTCATCTAAATTACACAAAAATGAAAATAACAGACATTTTATTTTAACAGATATATTTACCAAAATCACAAAAATATCTTGAAATACTAAAGAGTAAATTTATTTAATAAAATCTCCATTGGCTTCAACCATGGTCTCCAGATGACTTTGGAATCTCCTGCAACTCTTCTGGACAGTCTCCTTGTTTAAGATGATGAATGCTGCCATAATCCTTGCCTTCAGTTTATCATTGGTATTACAAGGAGTTTTGTTGGTCTCTCATTCAACTGTGCCCCACACATAATAATCAAGGGGGTTGCAATCAAGAGAATTAGGTAGCCAGATGTAAGGAGTAATGTGTTTACAGAAATATTCTGACAGCCATGACTGGGTTCTCCTGCTTGTGTGACATGGTAGAGAATCCTGTTGCCAGACATAGGGTCTCCAAGCAGCCACCCTCTTGGCACAGAGCAGCACTACTTCCTCAAGGCATTTGATGTAGGTCTCCGTGTTTAGTCTGAGGCCCTCACCAGCAAATTCAGGAGTTCTTTTCTTATCAAAACAGTCAGAGTGAGTTTTACGAGCTGCCATACCTTTGTAATTACCATGAGACTCATCCAACTCTTTCCGAATCCTCTGCACTGTCCTCAGATTGACACCCAAACACTCTGAAATATTCTTATTGGAGCTTTTGGTGCAAATGCCAAGCAGCACAAAATGTTTCCAAATTTCTGGCAGAGTGAATTGTGTCATGTTGGTCTTTTTCTCACAGATGGTGCCCAATTGACCCTACTATACTGTACAGTTGATAAAATGAAAAACAAAACACACGTGTGCGAAATTAAAAATATAAAATGGCGACAATTTACCCATCGCACCCTCTATATAAAAACATTAAAAAATTATTTTTTAGAAAGGTTTATTTATTCAATTAATGTTTATGATGTTTTAAAAGTATTAATTATACTATGCTGACATGTTAACTGTCAACATAGAAAATGTTATTAAATAATAATAATAGTGATTTTATAATTGACAGATATAGTTTGACAAAAACTATTAGATATGGTTTCCTAAAAGCAAATTCATTTTTTTTTTATTGACAATTTGCAAAGGAACATTAAAAATATTTTTATTATGTATTTGGTTACCTCTTGTGAATAGATATTTTTTTTCATTTTTTGGTTTTCTATACTTCAAAGAATATCTAAATTATTGTGAAATTTTTTAAAACATTGTTTAAAAAGTGTGTGATGGTACCTAACAATGGGACATAACCTACAGATTGGATTATGAACAGAAAAATGACCAACAACTACATTTTGCACCTATCTATTTATCTAAGTTTTATCAAAAACAAAAATGAATAGCTAGCAGTGTACTAAGGCATGAGACATCAATTCCCTCTCCCACATCTAACTTACCTGATTTGGAGATCGAATAAAGAAAGGCAGAGGTACTGGAGCATCAGATGAGCTTGGGCATAACTCTTCTGCAATATCAGAGAGACTGTCACGAAAACCTCCTCCCTGATCAATTATACCTTCCATTAAAAATTTACATTCCCACCACTGGTCATGTTTATTTGGCCACCTGAAGAAAAAATACAACAAAGTAAATAACATTAAAAAATAAATAAAGTGCTTCAGAACAAATAGTAATCAAATTGTTTTTCAACTTTCATTATATGGCAAAAATACATTTTTTTTTTTTTTTTTTTTGCTGCCAAGATCTAAATTTAGAAGTTACAGCCTCAGTTTAATTCATTTTTGGCTGGCAGCTTTCTATATAAAATACTAAGATTTATCTGCTGTTAAATGGGAAAATTCATGTTTATCTGAAATAATGTTTAGACTTTTAGTATTGGGTTATAACATTTTTAAGTGAATTTCAAAGACAATATTTAGATTTATTCAACCACATATGCACCATTTTGTTCCATTACCTTTCACCATCTTTGAGGCAACTTCATGATTTCAATTTCTCAGAATTTGGCATCTTTCTGGATAGTAAACTAGTTTTTACAGGCTTCCAGAGAATTGAAGTTCTTCCCATTAAAAGAATTTTGTAGATAGAAATAAATGATAATCCAAAGGTGTAAGGTCAGGTGAGTACGGCAAGTGTAGTAAGACATTCCATCCATGATGTGTCAATTTCTGCTGGGTCTGTGAAGATATGAAGTCTAGCATTGTTCTGATGGAAGACAACACCTTTTTGACTGGCCAATCATTTCATCAATTGCTGCTTTTAATCAGCACAATTAGAAACAGTGCTTATCTGATTTCAACCTCTGATTTTGTGGAAGAAGTTTATAATACACAATATCCTTCCAATCCCACCAGATACACAACATTACCTTCTTCAAATGCAAATCAGTTTTTGGTGTGGTTAACAGTAGCTCACATTGTTGTAAACAATCCACTTTTCATTGCTTGTGATCATTTTTTGTTGCATATGAGCAGAGAATTGCAGATTGAAAATGTTATCCATTAAATTTTTTCTGTTAAATTGTAAATTACCTAAACATCATGGCGATTCACATATCCAAGTGTTTTCAAATGACTTACAATATTTGGAGAATGTGTGATGTCTTGTGTTGTGTGACCTGGACTATTTTTAACCAGTGTTTCAATTTGGTTATCATCAATGACTGCAGGCCTGCCAGGATGTACTTAGGCTTCCAGTTCAAATTTTCCATTTTTGATCCCAGTGAATCACTTACAAACAATATTCTCAGCTAAAGTATCATCTCCATAGACAGTGTATATCTTTTTTGTTGTTTGCATACTTTTATTCTTTTCAGAAATAAGAGAGCATCAAATCATGAAAATGCATCTTATTTTCCTCCATTTTTATTTTTAACATAAAAACATTTAAGATTCACAATCTATACACAAATCTATAAGAAAGATGTGTTAAAATATCACCTTTTTAGAACATTATATATATATATATATATATATATATATATATATATATATATATATATAATATATTAGTGGAAAATAAGCTTTTTGAATTTGTAGGTCTGATGAATTGGATCGTATTTACAATTCCAATGGAATAAATTATGACCACGGAATATTAGTGTTTAAGCCTTTTTATTATATATATGTCATAAATTTCAGTCATATATAAAATGAAAGAGTTCAAATGCTACAAACTTTTCTTCCAATATTTTACTTATTTTTGGATATTAAATACTTTAGATTATTTTTTTAGGTAATTTTAGGAAATGCAATCTGTCAAAGATTATTGGGCAAAGTTTAACATTCATACAAAAGGACAGTTTTTCTCTTGACACAACTATTAATGTATGCTCCCTCAGCAATTTTTATTGTTTTAAAATGTTATTTTTAGAATCTTAATAAAACCTAAACATATGAAACAAGGTTTATACATTTTTTTCTGAAGAATTGACAACAAATATGCTAAACATTATTTGATTGTTTATTTACAAGTTTATAAAAAATATAGAAATCAACTATAATGCAGTAAAAAAATATAACTGTGAAAACACATTTTTTATTCATAAATTTATGAAAATATTTGGGAACAAGAAAATCTAAATAAATATATAACTACAAGTAACTGTAATTATAAATTTTGAAAAGAAAAAAGAAAAAAAGGAATTTCTTTCATTTGTTCTCATCACATAAATTCACTAAAATAGTTTGTGCTTTATTAAAATTCTAAAAATATCTTTTTAAAACAATTAAAATTGCCAAGGGAATATACATTAATGATAGTGTCAAGAAAAAAAATCGTCATTTTGACATATTGATTTTTGTAGGTATGAATGTTAAACTTTGCCAATTTTTGAAAATTAAAGTTATTATGTTTGATTTGTAAAATAGTTCTTTTTGTTGCTGACAACTGTATTATTGATTGTTAATTTTACATTTATCATTTAGAAAGAAATAGTCAAGCACTGTTATACTTATCACATGGCTGACTTGAATGGGTACAAAATGCTTGCAACTAAATTTTGTCAGATAGAAGATTGTATGTTTCCCCTAAACAAAATGTTTAATCTTGTGTTTTTAGTAATTTTAACTCTAGTGAATTCCTTTCTTTTTGTTTATTTTAAAAAAAAAAATTGCAAATAAAAAAACAGGAAATAGATTTATATTGTCTTGTTAATTAGGCAATTATGCAACAAACACAAAGCAGTAAACAAGTTGTGTAGGAAATATCATTCTTGTGTAGAATTGACTTACCGGTAATTTAAAGGTTTATTTTTCTTTTCTCTTGGCTGGAGTCCTTCATAGACTTGCATAAAAATTGTACTTTTGCATTCAGGATCTTTGGAAGGGTCTGATTTGTGTTCAGTGGCTGACCGTCTGTTAATGAAGATGATCCGAACATCAAGGGGGCGCCTGTACCAAAAGAAAATAGGGGAAGGTTTAGCTATGGTGGGAAGATAATAAAGCAGAAAACTATTGTAAGGCACACACACAAGCATTTATTTTCTGAACACAGAGAAAAAACAGAAGTGATTTGATAGGAATGTTGGAATCTTTGTGTTAAATGAATCAATCATTTTGATCATGTCCCTATTTTACTGTGAAGATTAACAACCTAATCTCATAGGCCAGTGTTAGTGACAGGTTTCATCTTGACAACTCATAATTATGGACTGGTATATTACTAAGCTAGGTTAGTGAGTGATTTGTTTTTTACAACTTATCAACCCTTTTATAAGTTATTTAAAGCAGAAATATTTTGGATTGCAAGAATAATTCTTTTTTTTTTGTGAGTGAATATTGTATCAATTTTTTTGGAGATAATAATTTTTCCAGATACAAGTGCTACTATTTAACTCATATCAAGAGAGAGAAGAGATGAATTCATACCTTTCCCTCATAGAAAAAAACAATACTATGAAAGTGAGTTTAAATTTTCATGGGGTGCCTTATTGCTGTGGTCTTGTGCCAGATTAATAACCTTACTTCAGAGCATGTCTGCTCCTCATCATAGTAATCCTGTACCAAACAAAGATAGAAAATATCCATCAACATACTTTGTAGGATATCTGCTTCATTCTGAAATTATTCCTATGTACTTTTCATTGTGGATATCAGAACTATTAGAAAACTGGTAAATATAAATTTGAAGAGAAGACAGTATGATCATTACATCTTAAAATTCCTTTCATTATTTAATCAAACTTGTCATACACAGGATGTACATTAACTTACTGGTTATCAGCATGGAGAGTGAGATTAGGGTGTCAAGTTTAATTTCCAGTCAAGGCAACTGCATTCGTTTTTGCACAAATACCCTTGGACAGGTGAGAATCCATCTTCTTTCCTCCCCAGCACCTCCTGCTAGACATTAACAGCAGGATAGACTGGACTCTATATGTTTGGTTGGCAACCAATCTAGGAGAAGGTCAACTTTAAATTCAAAATCACTTGGACATGGGGCTAGCAACTAACCCATAAAAACCTATTCTTAGGTACCTAATATATGGTGTGGGTGGGGGTGGTTAGGTCTTTATTTATCTTTTAAAAAATTTCCACCTCACTGAGCAATATATTTATTAATTTTAATATTTCACTTTTTGACCCTTTAAATGATTTTTTTGTCCCCTATTATTAAGACAATACCCTCCTATTTATTGTACATTGAGAAAATTCTGATCCCAATTATTAAAACTCCTCCATTGTATTAGGCACCTAAGAATACCACAGCAGCACTTGGCATGGTAAGGCTATAACCTTATACTCCACAGGGTAGTCTACAGGTTCAACACAATAACAACAGAGGATAAAAATAGGATTACTAAAAAAATAAATAATTATATAACCATTTTTCTTAAGACATAAATGTTTAAATTTATTTGTCTACTCTTTCTAAAGTGCTTGAGAATTAAGTTATTGTGAAGGTAATTTGAGAAAACGACATATGACAACTGTTTTGCATTCATTAATTTATCAAATGTTTAAATTGGTTCTTCATATCTCTCAAAACACAAAGTTTGAGAAGAAATTGTTTTCTGCTTTATGGCCGAAACAGTTACATATTTCACAGCAGTGGAAGAGATAAGTGTTTGTCTAGACAGAGTTCAAGATTTTGAATGCTGATCCTCAAGTCAAGTATAGGCCATCCTATTTGGAAGGCTGGCATAAAAAAATCTTTCTATATCCCATTCAGCCATGTAAGAGACTAAACTTTACTCTCTCCACCTTACATGCCATTTTTTTTTTTTTTTTAATCAATTCACCCCAAGCAAGGTGATAATGCTACTGAGATGCAAGTGGGTACTGGAAGTGAAAGAGAATGAGAAGGACTTTAGAAGGAACTGGAAACCCAACCGTAAACCGGAAACTAGGTATAAACCTCTACTCCTGTTTGAAAGAATGGGAAGTGGTGTGAACTGGACAATAGGTTTGTCTGTATACTCCTATTACACACACAAAACCTTTTGGCCAAAATGTGAGGGGTAAAATACAGAATGTGTTGATGGTTAGACTTTAGCTTAAAACAAAAATACTCACTCTTTGATTGTTTCTCGAAGGAATGTTTCAATCAAAACTGGTTTCATTTGTGATAAGGGCAGTAACTGACGTATAGACTGAAAGAAAGAAGCAGAGAAGCTTAACTACAAGAGCAGCAGCCGCAACAGTTAGGGATACAAATTGATTGTGTAAAATAACAAGGACAAGATTTAGCAATGGTTGATGTAACAAGATTTCTAAAAAGTTAGTCAGATTTGAAATATTCAGGTAGATTCAAAATCATAAACACATTTTTCAAATAAACTTAAACCAATAAAAACTGAGGATAAGGATACTAGCCTAAACAAAATTGTTGTGGCGATACTTTAAGGCAAAAGAACTTTTGTTGCTTACCTCCAAATCTAGAATGGGCTGATGCTGATGATTCCATTTTGGAATTAAATAATGAAGAACACTGTCTAACAACGAGATGAACCTACAAGAATAAAAATAAAATAACAGATCTGAATATAATTTTATTGTAGATTAGTTCTTGGATTGTAGCTTATTTTAGAACTATCAGGATTACAATCAAGTATGTAAAAATAATGTAAAGAAAGAGGATTACAGAGAAAGTCAGATAAAAGACTTACCTTTGTAGAAGAATAGCTCTGTAATATAACTGGTCAGCAGTGTAACCTTCTAAACGGGGATATCGGAAAAGTTTGCTTTTGGAGAAGAAGTCTCTGTCAAAGCCAAGACTGCGCTCTCGACAAGATTGAATTTTTAGGCCTCGGACCCTTACATCTAAACCATCAGCTTAGTAGGTGGAACAAGAAAAGATAACAGATAAAAACCAAAGGTAGAGTAATTACTGTTTTAAAAATTAAGGAAAAACTGATTTTATTAGGGTTGAAGAAAAATGTTGAAATTAGATAAAAACATATCAGACATGAAAGAAAATGAATAATTACAAAAAGATATGAAAAGTAGATATGAAAGAGTTTCTACTTGAAATAAAAATATATTCAATCTAATCCTTGTAACAGCATGTTATATAATAACAAAGTAAACCCGAGTGGTGGTTTAAATAATAATACTTTATGTAGGAATGTCAAAATACAGAGACAGAGTAGGAGTAAGCTAACCGCAATGGTGTAGTCAACGAAGACCTTTGCTGTCGCTCTGTTGTCGACCTGGACTGTTTACTGTGGTCGAACTTTATCGGCCACCGGAACGTCCATTTATGGTGAATGGGGAAGTCAGGTTATTTCATCACAACACCTCCCCCCGAAGCTGAAATTCTTCCTTTTGAAAATTTCTGCTTCTAATATCGTCTTCTTTTTGGATCCGGACTAAAACGCTCCACTGGTTTTCTTTGCCGTGTGCTCCTTCTTTCAGTCGTCGCAATTTGATCCTTTTTTGGCGAAGATAATTTCCGCTTTCCAGCCCGTAAGGCTGTTTCATGCGATACAGGTTCCAATACACTATTGGGTAGTGTCATGTTAAAAGCATCGCATAACACTTCCATCGGAATTTCTTCTTCGCTTTTTTCACTTTCTTCACCATATCGTGGTCTAATCTGATTGATGTGTCTTTTACACATAAATTTATTACTTTTAATCATGTAGACCACTTTACCAATCCTTTTCTGGATTATGCCATCCATCCAAAAGCTTTTCCCACTTTTAAAGTTTTTAAAAAAAACTTTGTCTCCTGGTGTGTATTTTTTTATATTGACTTTTTCGTCTTTTTTAGCAACTTTTTTGTTTTGATAGGGTAACAATCTATCGAAAATTGATCTAATTTTTCTTGCGAACATAATTTCCGCAGGTGACATTTTCGCATTATTGTTCTCATTAGGAGTTACCCTATAGATTGCTAAAAACTTTTGAATAGTTCTTTCTTCAGTGTCTATACCTCTATTTTTACGTAAAGCACGTTTAAAAGTGTCGACAAATTTCTCGGCTTGACCGTTCGACCTGGGATGGCACACTGGTGTAGTTATGTGTTCAATGTCTAAGGCGGTACAGAAATCCTTAAATTCCATACTTGTGAACGCCGTACCATTGTCGCTAACTAATGTTCTGGGAACCCGAAACGACTGAAAATTTCATCCAATGCACTGATGGTGTTCCTAGATGTAGGATGCTTGCACTTGACTACTTCAGGCCATTTCGATAAAGAGTCCACCAATATCAAATAATAGTGTCCATTGATTGGTCCAGCATAGTCTATATGTAGACGTGCCCACGGCAAATCCGTTTTAGGCCAAGGATTCATTTTGACCGGAGGTGCCCTTGCAGCCAATTGACAACCTCTACATAGTCTTACAAAATCTTGATATCCTTGTCCATTCCCGGCCAGTATACGTAACTACGCATGAGTGATTTCATCCGGGACATTCCAGGATGACCGGTATGAAATTCTTTCAGTATATCTGTCCGTAAAGATTGAGGTATGACAATTCTATCTGCGTACATCAACGTGTTGTCGCAAATTGAAAAAGGTGAAATCTGAGTTCCTTTTTTTCTGTCTTTTGTTCCATTTTGTCTGGTTTTTTAATTTCACAATATAGTGATCTTTTTCCCGCTTTTTTTTTTTATTTTGTCCAATGTTACTGGCAATTCCCTGATTGTATTCAATAAGAGACCTGAGATTTCTTTTTCCTCAGTTAATGCTGCTATAACCGTCTCTTCTAACAATTCTTCATTTTTTGGAATCAGCCTTGACAATCCATCCGCATGCCCATGTTCTTTAGATTTGACGTATTCCATCCTAAAATGGTAATTAAGTAGGGTTACACCCCATCGCCGTAATCGATTAGCTGTATGCGTAGGAATGCCTTTTTTACTTCCAAATATTGAAAGTAACGGTTTATGATCCGTTTGCAGAACAAATGATCTACCATGTAAGAAGCGGTGGTATTTTTTAACTCCGAACACAATCGACAAAGCCTCCTTCTCGATCTGGCTATAATTTTTTTCAGCCGGAAGAAGAGTCCTTGACGCGTGCGCGATAGGTTTGGTAGTACCATCTTCATATTTGTGTAGCAGTGCAGCACCCACTCCGTATAAACTTGCGTCAGTTGCTAGAATGATCTCTTTCTCAGGATCATAATGTGCTAAAGCGAGATCTGAGAGTAGGCATTTTTTTATTTTCTGAAAAGCCGTCTCGCACTCTTTTGACCAAAACCATTTTTTGTCTTTTTTTAACAATTCGTTGAGGGGGGCTCTTAAATCATACATTTTAGGTATGTATATTGCATAATATTGTGCCAACCCCAGAAACGATTGTAATTTCGCAACTGTGTCGGGTGCAGGCATGTTTTTAATTGCATCGGCCCTCTGTGGGTCCGGTTTCCTGCCTTCACTGTCTATTACTTGTCCGAGATACGTAATTCTTTCCATGAAGAATTTACACTTCTCGTGGCTTAATTTGAAACCAAAATCTTCTAGTCTTTTGAATATCGCTCTGATGTGCGTTTTATGTTCTTGAACATTCTTACTTTTGACTAGAATGTCATCTAAATAGGCGGTACCAAACTCAAGGCCTGCCAGCATAGTGTCCATCACCTGTTGAAACAAAGCTGGGGCGACTTTTAAGCCGAAAGGCAGCCTATTTAGCTTATAAATACCTTTATGTGTATTTATACACAAATATTTCGAGCATTCGTCACTCACTTTAATCTGCAAGTATGCGTCAGACAGGTCGATTTTTGAAAAAATCTTCCCACCATTTAATTTTGAAAAAATATCTTCTGGTGAAGGTAGTGGATAACTGTGATTCTTAAGGCAATCATTTAATCCAGTTGAAAAATCTGCGCACACTCTTATTTTTCCATTTTTCTTTTTAACATAAACTGTGGGTGAGGCCCAGTCTGAATGGTCAACCTTAGATATCACTCCCATTTTTTCAAGTCTTTCCAATTCCTTATTAATTGTGTCTAAGGAGGAAAACGGGACGTTTCTCTTAGGTTTGAAAATTGGTTTCACATTTTCCTTGAGTTCAAATTTGACTTCCGTTTTGGTACATAAACCCAATCCCTCAGAAAAAACTCTGGGATATTCTTCTTTTAATTCATTTATGAATTTTTCATTTTTAATATTTTTTTGTTTTTCGGCACTGTTTATTACATTGCAAAATGAGTTAATCGGGAGTTCAAATAAATCAAAAAGTACTATCCAGTCTATTCCAAAAAGACATGAATTAATCCCTTGGATTACATACACTTTCGTTTTTGCAGTCTTGCCACATAACGAAATATTGCACTTTAATTCTCCCTTAAAGTTTAATTTCTTTCCTGAAACCCCTCTAGCGGTTTTTTTGGTTTCAGATAATTTAGGTCTTCCAATTTTTTTCCAAGTTTGTTCGTCAATGATGCTTATGTCTGAACCAGAATCCAGTAGGAAAGTAATTTTATGATTATTTATACGTACATCTACGTACTTTCTATTTTTTCCTTTCTGAATTTCTTTTTCTGATAATACCAGACTTACATCTTGTAATTTTCTTTTCTTTCGACAAACTGTATATTTATGCCCTTTATTTCCGCACGATTCGCAGAATTTATTTTTGTACCAACATACGTCTTTGGTGTGACCTTTTTTTTCCACACGTTTGGCAGAACTTATTTTTGTACCAACACGTGTCTTTGGTATGATTTTTTTTCCCACACGTTTGGCAGAATTTATTTTTGTACCAACACGTGTCTTTGGTATAAATTTTTTTTCCACACGTCTCACATTTTTGTACCTTTTTGGCGTTTGGAGTTTTTCGAGTTTTTTCGTGTCGAACATTAGCAACACTTTTCTCCTCAATTTGAATATTGTCCCTTTTTACGTTTATGAGACGTTGGCATTCTTCGGTTACCTTTTTGTAATGTTATTTTCGAGTCTTGCTCGACCATTATTAATATTCTCGACCTAATTTCTTTATATTTAGGATCAGTTAGTCCTTGAAGAAAAATTAGGCACTTGAATACATCTTTGGTTATTTCTTCTAACTTGAATTGTTCAACCAGAGAGTTCACTGTTCCGTATGTCACAAAATCCTCGTTATCTGCTTTAACGATGTTTAGGCATCTGTATCGCGTGTGGAACAGACTATTCCTTTCGTCAAATATTTTTGACAGAATACTTATAGTTTCTTCAAACGAAACTTCTTCTGGCTTTCTGGGCAGTATCAAGTTTGAGTACTTCCTATTCTCGTTTGTCCCTAGTTTCTGTACTAGTAATGTTACTCGTTCCTCATCCGACCAATGTTGACATCTCTTGGTAAATATAGTTTGAAACGTTTAAAAAGTACGCTGGAAATGTAATGCCCGAATCAGGATCATAAATAAATTCGGATAATGAATTTGTTATTCCTTCGGCAGAAAAAACAGTATTTTTTCTTTCTCCAGTCGCCTGTTCCAAAACTTTTTCGAGACTTTTTTGCTGTTGCAATATTTGTTGTTGTAAGTCTTGGTGCTGTTTTTTTGTTGTTGTAACTCTTGATACTGATGTTGTTGTTGTTGTTGTTGTAAGCTTGTACACAGCATTTTAGTCATTTCGACTAATTGCTCCATCCTTATTTTAGAATTCGGCAAAACAACAAAAAAAAAAATTTTTTTTTTTTTTTTAGACAGTTAAACTCTCAACAAACAATTTACAGCCGTAATTTTTTACAACCCGTAATTTTTACTTGAATAATTATTGTTAGACCGGCTCGTTTTTGAGTCGCGGTTCAAAATATATTTTTCAAATCACAATTTAACAGTAAAAATTCTTACTTTTCAAAAAGTTTCCTTTTGACTTGTGACTCCGCTTTCGAACATCCGTTCAGCGTATATATATATATATTTTTTTTTTTTTTTTTTCAACTGTTATAGTTAGTACTAAAAGTTTTTCCGTGTAAGTTTGAATCCTCGTTCGCCAACTGTTATAGTTAGGCGTAAAAAAAGTTTTTTCGTGTAAGTTTCGAATCCTCGTTCGCCAACTGTTATATCTCGTCGCCAGTCGTTATATCTCGCAAAAAGATATAATAACAAAGTAAACCCGAGTGGTGGTTTAAATAATAATACTTTATATCGGAATGTAGGAATGTCAAAATACAGAGACAGAGTAGGAGTAAGCTAACCGCAATGGTGTAGTCAACGAAGACCTTTGTTGTCGCTCTCTGTTGTATCCCTCTGGACTGTTTACTGTGGTCGAACTTTATCGGCCACCGGAACGTCCATTTATGGTGAATGGGGAAGTCAGGTTATTTCATCACAAAAAAAAAGAAAATAATAATAAAAAAAATTGAAGGAATAGAGGGAAAAGATGAGAAAAGTAAATGACCTAACACAGGTGCTGACAAGAACACTGTGAAAGAGATTTAAAGATTGCCTAAGAATCCAGGCACAAACAAATGTGGACTCCACCAAACAATAAGCCTAATGAGCCACATAACAAAACTCATCATCCATATTCTGATGAATAGCGTGTGCAGCAGAATCCGACCAGCGATAGGAAAGAACAGTGTGGGTTCGTGAAAGACACCAAAACAAGGAATGTGATATTCATGCTCAGATTGTTATCAGAAAAAGCAATAAAAAAACAGAAGAATGAGTACCTGTGTTTTATAGACTATGCAAAGATGTTTGACAAAGTATGCCACAAAGATCTGTTAGAGTGGCTCAGCAACCTTGACATATTTGGGAAGACATTAGAATAATTAAAAACCTCTACTAGCAGCAAACCACGAGCATAAAGATAAAAAAATGAGCTCAGCAGATATACAAAAATACTGAACAGTGAAGTAATTCTGAGAGAAGTGAAAATCCTACCAGGATTCATCATTGGCAGCCACAATCTTAACAACATAAGATACACTGATGACAGTGCTGATAGCAGACACACAAAGGAAACTACAAAAACTCCTACAGAAGGTAGCGGAGGAGAGTGAGAAGAAGGGACTAAGTATAAACTACAAGAAGACAGAATGCATGGTCATCAGCAAAAGGAGAAGCCCAAAATGCAATTTACAGATCAGGGACACAAGCAGGTGCACAAATTTAAATATCTGGGAAGTGTTCTGACAAAGGATAGAAAGTGCAACGCTGAGATCCAATGGCGCATTGGGATGGCCAAAGATGCTTTCCAAAAGCTAGGCAGAGTATTACGAGACAGGAGGGTTTTGTTGGTAACAAAGAAAAGAGTACTGAAGTGCTACGTGATATCTGTTCTCCTTTATGGTAATGAATGTTGGACAATCTTCTCAAGGATGAAGAAGAAACAGAGGTGTGGTTCTACAGAAGGATGCTAAGGATACCATGGACTGAACATGTGAGCAATGATGAGGTTTTGGAGAAGATGCAAACAAAAACGAAATTTATACTAAAAATTGGGAAGAGACAGCTGAAATTTCCGGGACATGTAATGAGAAAGGAGGGTTTGAAAAATCTGATACTCACAGGGTGGATAGAGGGAAAGAAACACATCACATACTTAACGGGCTTAAGCAAGTGGATGGTAGAACAGGGTCTGGGAGAAATAACAAAAAGACTTAGTGAGAGCTACAAGGGACAGGAGAAGGTGGAGAGCCATGATCACCTATGTACTGAAAGGGAACAGCATATAAAAGAAGAATAGAAACAAATTTGAATCTGTCTTTGAATGTTTCAATCTAAAATGGTAGTTGCCAAAAATAACTAGTGAGGTCATTGCAAAGGTGATACTACCTGAACACAAAGTCATATTTGTGATATAGCCAATCAGATGGGAGTTACAAAAATCACTATAGACGGTTTACATGATTAGCATATGAATCATTAAAAGAGATGCTATGGTAAGATTGATTGTAATTTTTTTTATTAAGTTGATGATGTTGGAAAGACAAGAAAAAAAGTTTTTAACATACAAAATCCTATATCTATATCTCATTATGGCTATGTAATTCCTTCTATTACTATACTGACACTCTGTAACCTTTTTCCTACAGGTGTGACATTGCAATCCTATCATTACTCTATTGCTAATTCCATGGAAAATTAGCAGACCTTTACAGCTAGGACACACCACTTCCACAGAGTTTAATCACTCTCATTTTCTTGGCGTTCCTAATGAAAGAAGAAAGTTCCACTCAGTTTTTTTCCCCACAAAACTGCCACATTGTGGAAAAAGCTCTTAAATAAGGGCCTCCCTGAACACTACAATCTTGACCACTTCAAGTCAAAGGTCAATCATTACCTATCCCTTTTATCCTTATAATCTTCACTTCTTACTATCCTCTTTTCATTCAGATCACACACCTTATTCATCATTACCATTTTGACTGTAACCCTCTACCTTGAGTGGTTCTCAAGCCTTATATTCGATGAAATTTAGTTTAAAAAAAAAAAAAAATTTTGAGGATACCTGTCAGAATCATTTCCCACTGAGATGGTGCCTATGTCTTAAAAGTCAACAGTGAAAAATTCAAATGCAGAAGAGTGAGGCAGATTGAGATATACATTAACTGTCACTTTGCATTCATTCAAATCAGAGGAGAAAAAAGATTTTAATAATATTGTCTAAGATTTTGCTTTTTAAACAGACAGATAATGGACATTGACAAAATTCTGTTTGAAAATGAATGAATAAATCAGTTAAAAGAGAAGCATTTAATTGATTTGTTTTTTTTATAGCTTATCAACCTTTTGTGGGTTATTTACAGCCAAAACATATTTTGAATTGTAAGAATAATCCTTTTGTGTGAGTAACAATTGCATTAAGTTTTGGAAAATAATGATTTTTCCAGATACGTAACCCATAACTGGGAGACATGGATTAATAACTTTCTGAAGGGTATTTGCATGTAAGTGAATGTCAGAGAAAAAGAAAATTATTAATGATAAATTAAATAATTACCTTTCCAATGTGACCATATTGAGCTCCTTCATATTGAATTCCTCACCCCCACAAACAATTACTTTGGAGGGTAGGTAAATATCATCAGCACCAGACAGGGTTAGAAATAATTTTCTGAAAAAAATTAAAAAGAAAAAAAAAATACATATTTCTGATTAATACAAAAAAGATAATACTTTCTGCAGTTATAAACAACAAAAAAGAAAAGACATTTAAATTCTTTTTCCTTTGTTAATATACATCACAGATAAAACAGAAACAAAAAAACATGCTAAATGAGAACTTATTTTAAAATAAAAACATGTCAAATTTTCAAGATAGCATCCCCCCTCTTATAAAAAAAAAAAAACAAAATGACTGAGACTTCCAGAAAGAAAATACCCTGAGATTTAGAGTTTCTTATCTTTTATTTATAACGAAAAAATCTTAAGGCCTGAACAGTTGTAATGAAGTTAATCAGAAAAAGATTCTTAGATCAAGTGAGTACTCTAGACCATGCTGAGTCCCATGATCTAAGAAATTTCCTGGGTGACGTATTATCTCGAGGACAAAAAAAAAAAAAAAAAAAAAAAAAAAAATACAAGATTAATAGTACTGATATCAGCTGCAGTCTTTGATCAAACTTTTCCATCTATCATCATGATATTCCAATAACAAGACCTTTGTGAAGACACCTAATGAGACAATAGGAAAAAAAAAGATCACCCATGCTTTTTCCAATGCAAAATCAATATGTTGTGGAGATGAACACACCTCTCTAAAAGAGGACTTGGACTTGTCCAAATGCATATAGACTGATGCTGAGAATCGTCAATAGAAGAAGTAGATCTAGCTTATCTGCTTACTACTTATTTGAGCAAGACTACATCAACTTCAAGCAACATACTACTTCTTGATTGTGATATCTTCATTCAATTCAATAAAGACATAACAGTGGTGCCAAAATCTTGAATTCACACACACAAAAGAAATTTTTTTTTTACTCTTGCTTAGCATAAATCGCTGTCAAAGAAAATTCAAAATTCATGGAAAAAAATTGGTGGAGTTTGTGTATATTCATAGCACGATGAGAGCAGATTGAATATCAAGAACAAATAAAAGCAATCCTGGAAAAGCAAACAATAGACAATTGGTCAATTTTGTTTTTGCCAGACTCGGTTGCTAACTCAATTAGTGAATTTAATTATGCCCCAGATGAAAACATTACATTCCTATCATACTTCAGAAGGTTCATTGGCAGTGCATGAACCTTATTAAGGATGAAAATGAAGATTTTGTTACATATGCCGGTATAGTGTGAGAAATTTAAACTGGATGAATTATCCCCAGACAGATTTAAATGTTTAATTTTCATTAAAGGTCTGACATCAAGTAATGATGCAGAAATATGCTCTTGAATATTTACTAAACTTGAATAGGATTCAAAGTTAACGTTAGAGACTGTGCCAAAAAATTATCAATTCAAGGCATGATACAGCAAAAATCAAGCAAAATAGCAGGACAGAAGTACAAATGGTTTGAAAAAAGACAGTTGTACCAAAAGAAAAAATACAGAATAAAAATGCTGCAAATCTTAACCCATGCTGTGGCATGCTTCATCTCAGAAAGGACTGTCCATTTAAAACCCCAAAATGTTTTAAGTGTGGAAAAACAGGTCACAAATGAAGCTACTGCAAGTCCAAAAGCAAAAGAAATATACAAATAGACTTGCTGAAAGTAGTACTACCAGCTAAAACACTGGAAAGTTCAAATGATAGAAAAATTGTGACAGTACAAATAAATAACGCTACAGTGAGATTTCAATTGGACACTGGTAGCAATATTACAATTATTGATGAACAAACTTAGAACAGAATTGGCAAGCCTAACTTGAGAAAAACTGAAAAATTTGTAAGAAGTTTTTTGTAAGATTGGCTATCCTATTGGTCTATGCCTATTGCCTACACCTAATGACTGCGACTACTACAAGTACCAGTTCTATTACTGCTACTTGCTAGATTGTTCTACATGGTTACAGTAGCCTAAACCACTAGCTACTTCGATCAAATATATCCCTTTCTGGGACATATCAGTTGGCAACAAGATTCAAAACAACCTCACAAGTTAAAACAAAAGGAAAAAAAATACAGTCGACAACACATACTAACGAAGAATGTTACAAAGACTTGTTCGACGCTTACAGAAAGTAATTTTTTCCCTCATGTTTGTTTTAACACTTATTGATGAGGAACGTTAGAAAAGAAAAAATTTGTGCAACGCTTACAGAAAGTAAGAAATTGCCCCCCCACCCTGTTTAGACATAAAAAATTTTATGGTCTATTATAGCAAAATTTTTTCTTGTGATACGTTGGCAGAATGGAACAAATTGCGGAATTAGCTAAGGAGCTACAAGTCACTTTACAGCAACAATTCCAACAGCAACAACAACAATATATTCAGCAACAAGAAAGGCTTGAAAAGTTATTCGAACAACAGGCAAAAGGACAATAAATCACTTTGGGAAGATGTATTATCTAGGACAACAAAAGAACAAGGTTCTAGATTGTTTTCTGCTGAAGGAATTTCAAATTCACTCTCTGTTGTGGAGTGATTTCGCAGTGGAGGCTTGTATTTGTACTAAATCGGTGCTAAAATAGGTTTGACGTACAAAACGTTAGGAACTTGATATAATAGGTATAACGCAGAGTAATCTTGTTGTGGTTGCTGATACTTTCGTATTCAACTGTTGTCCGACATCGACTGACTGACCTGTTTCTATTACTACTCCTACTTATATTAGGTGGGAGAGTCTATTAACTATATAAGAGGTGCGTTTCACCATAATACTCTCTGAATTTAAATATGACCCTGACAGTGGTTCAACGTTTCCAGCTTATTTTCGTAGGTTTGAAACAATATTTACGAAAAGATGCGAACAATGGTCCGACGAGGAAAAAAATCACGCTATTGTTGCAGAAGTTGGGAACAGAAGAAAATACAAAATACATGAAGCCAGAAGAAATTACATTCGGCGAAACAGTAGAAATTTTGTCGAAAATTTTTGATAAAAGAGATAGTCTGTTTTATACTAGATACAAGTGTCTAAATATCGTAAAACAAGAGAATGATGATTTTTTCACGTATGCAGGTATGGTTAACGCACTGTGTGAGCCGTTTAATTTAAAGGAATTGTCAAGCGACATGTTCAAGTGTCTAATTATTGTGCAATGTCTAACGACACCTAATGACAAAGAAATTAGATCAAGAATCCTCTCTATCATGGAACAAGATCCGAAGATTATGCTACAAAAAGTAACGGAAGAATGTCAGCAAATTATAAACATAAAAAAAAGACAATACTCGGATTGAGGAGAAGAACATTTCATGAGTACAAACTGTAAGACAATGGAAGGGGATACAAAATAAACAAAGAAAAATTATATGCAGTCCGTGTGGAGGACAGGTGGAGAGCCAGGATCAGGTAGTTTCGTCTAAAAATGAAATTGAGGAGGGTCAAAGAAGAAAATACCTCAATGTAAAAATAAATGGGCAGATCATAAAATTATACTCGATTCAGGAAGTGATATCTCAGTAATAAATGAGCAAACACGGAAAAAAAAAAAAAATCGATTACCCACCATTGACTAAAACAGACAAAATTGTCAGGGGAGTGTCAGGAAAAATACTTAAGTTTACAGGAGAATAAAAATGTAACATTTTGTTCATGGGGAAAAATTCACAAATCAAAAGTGTATGTGCTCCTTGGTTCAATAAACCTCTTTGGTACAGACTGGATCGTATTGTTTAATTTGTGGGAATTACTGGTAAATTCTTTCTGTAACAAAGTGAACGTCATAGAGAACTATAAGACGAAGCAAACAGAAAGATTTATTACGGAGTTGAAAAATGAATTCTCTTGCGTCTTTTCAGAAGAACTAGGTCTGTGCACAAAAACAGAAGTCAACTTTGAATTGAAAGGAAATGTTAAACCAATCTTTAAACCAAAGAGAAAAGTACCATTTTCAGAACTAGAGACATTAAATGAGGAATTAGAAAGGTTGGAGAAAATTGGTGTAATTTCAAAAGTCAATTACTCGGATTGGACGTCTCCAACTGTATATATAAAAAAGAAAAACCGAAAAATCAGAGTGTGTGCTGACTTTTCGACAGGCTTAAATGATTGTTTAAAAGACCATGCGTACCCTCTACTGTCTCCAGAGGACATATTCACTAAATTAAACGGATGTATAGTGTTTTCAAAGTTGGACTTGTTGGAGGCTTACCTTCAGGTTAAAGTCAGTGAAGAATGTTCTAAGTACCTGTCTATAAACATGCATAAAGGGATTTTTAAACTAAATTGTCTCCCTTTTGGATTGAAGGTAGCTCCAAGCCTATTCCAGCAAATAATGGACACAATGTTGGCTGGTATGGAGTATGCAATAGCATACTTAGATGATATTTTGATTAAAAGTGAAAACGAGGCCCAACACAAAACGCATATTAGAGCAGTATTTCAGAGAATTGAGGAATACTGGTTCAAGCTGAGTGCTGAAAAATGCAAGTTCTTCTTAAAGAAGATAAAATATTTAGGGCAGATCATTGACAGTAAAGGAAGAAAACCGGATCCAGAAAGGGCTGAGGCTATAAAAAATATGCCAGCACCTTATAATGTGGCTAAACTCCAAGCATTCTTGGGATTAGTAAGTTATTATAGCATTTATATCCCAAAAATGTATGATATGAGAGCTCCTTTAAATAATTTGCTGAAAAAGGGCACAAAGTGGATATGGTTGAAAGAATGCGAAGATCCTTTTAAAAAAATAAAAAGCTGTCTATTAGCAGACCTACCATTGGCGCATTTCGACCTAAAGAGGAAAATCATTGTAGCAGCAGATGCCAGTAATGAGGGACTACGTGCGGTACTGCTTCATAAAATTGAGGATGGATCTCTGACCAATAGCACATGCCTCGAGAACGTTACTGCCCACAAAACAAAGTTACAGTCAAATCGAAAAAGAGAGTTTATCAATAATCTATGCTGTAAAAAAAATTTCACGGGTTTTTATACAGATGAGAATTTATTCTGCAAACAGACCACAAACTGCTGTTAACAATATTTGGTTAAAAAAAAAAGA